GAAAAATCATCCACAAAAGTAATAAAATACTTATGCCCAGTTTTGGAAATGACAGGGCATGGTCCCCAAACATCAGAATGAACCAACTCAAAAGCTGACTCAGCCCGCTTATTAACCCTTGGACTTAATGAGCTGCGATGATGTTTTGCAAATCGACATGACTCACATTCTAATGAAGAAATATTTTGGAATTGCGGACAAAGCTTCTTTAGCAAAGGTAGAGATGGATGTCCCAATCGACAATGTGCTTCAAATGGAGACACAACACTAGAGCAGGCAACAAACTGAGGCCCCCATTCATCCAAAATATAGAGATCGTCAGATACATGTCCTTTACCAATAACCTGATTCGTCTTAAGATCACGAAACAAACAATGATCCGGAAAGAACGAAATATAACAATTAAGGTCTCTGGTAACTTTGCTAACAGAAATCAAATTGAAGGCCAACTTTGGTAGACTTAATACTGATGACAAGGTAATAGTGGAGGTTGGTTTAACAGTCCCATATCCATCACTGTTACAAGTTGATCCATCAGCTACAGTAACCGGAGAGGGAGCTTTGTGTGACTGAAAACTAGTAAAAATGTTAGAATTACCGGTCATGTGATTTGAGGCACCTGAATCAATCACCCATTTATTTGAAGAGGTGATTAGACATGTTTTATCTGATTTAGTAAAGGCATTAACTGAGGTGGATTCCTTCAATAATTTCTGATATCGAGAGAATTCAGCAAACTCCTTTGAGGAAATCAAAATCATTTTATCAAACCTTTGAGTTCCCTGATTACAGTCAGTCATATTCCCAACAAAACGCTCACGGTACCAAAATGAATTGGTGGACAAACCAACAAGTCCCAAACAGACTATAATCCCAAAGAAAAGACAATACAATCACCAAAATAAAATGACTAACCAGATCTGACCGCACCAAGACCAATCTGGCCGAATAATCAGAAACGAAGGGGATGTTGACCGGAAAAAAACAACAATGTCTGAGAAGCCAACAGATTTTCTGGACAGCAACCCAAAAATTAGAAGGATGGACAGGTCGTCTTCTTTGATACTGCGTTTGAAAGTTTCGAGTTCCGACTAAATAACCTTATCGAAACAGCTCCAGAATGACTCAAGCTTCAGATTTGAGTTCACAAACAGATCTCCCACAAATATTCTTAGCACCCTTCTTGAATTTCCAGAATTTTGAAGCACCAGCTTCACTCGAGAAAGGCAGACAATCAAGCTTCAGATTTTAGAGTTTCAATCTGAACCCAGATGCCACAAAATGGATTCAGTACACTTAGACAATCAATTTCTCTAACACAGAAATGGTGTCCAGATTCAAAGGTGAAAGATAGAGCTCTCAACTACTTCCCCGAAGCCACAGTAGCTTCCGGCGAAGTCACAGTGACTTCCGGCAAAGCCAAATCCCAGCTTAGACAGTTGCTCTGATACCATGTAACTTATATTATATGGAGAATGACTTGTTCCTTTCTATTCATCAAGACAAGATACTTATACAAATACTATGCTTCTATGAAAGGAAAACTAATCAAAGTAAATCAACTAAGAATCTGCTCCTATAATTAAATTAGCTATTTATGAATAAGAGATTTCAAGGTGCTTCTCTTATTTTTATTATTGAGCCCCTGCACATTCCAGATGATTGTTTTGACAAACCAGGAGGATGGAAAGTTCTATGTTACAGGTTGTATAAGTGTGGGTTGTATAATTTCAGGAAAGGGGGTGGGGGGGGGGGGGGGGGGGGGGGTGATGGGAAGGCCAACCAGAACTTCAGGTGCATGGAAAATAGTGCGGAAGAATGTGGCTCCAACCAAGGTGAAGTGCTTCACATGGTTGGTAGCCCGAAAAACTAGCACGACTCATGAGGCTATGCAGAAGAGGGGTATCAACATTGCATCAAGGTGCTTACCGTGCAAAGAAGCCCTAAGCCCCGGAGATCAACAAACACTAATTTCTACACTATAAGGTGACCTCACAGGTTTGGGCCCTTTTTACCAGCATAACTAACATCAACTGGACCATGCCAGAGCATACAACATACAACAGACCTCCAAAGTTGCTGGATTAAAAGGGGAGACAACAAAAACCAGAAGAGATGGTAGAGATCAATTCCAGCATGCATATGGTGCATCATATGGAAAGAAGGAAACCGGAGAATTTTTGAAGGAAAAGAATGTACTATAGAAAAGATCAAATGGAAAGTAATTACTTTCTTAGGTTTTTTTGGTGTATAGAACAGGATACAGATTAAGAGGTCAAATTAGTGGATTTTATAGGAACTTTGTAAGTATTTCTAACTTTTTCCTTTATTGTAACATCTTTTTGGAGGTGGCCAGTGTAGCCCTTAATGTTGAAGATTTCAAAATGTTACCAGTTCACAAAAAAAAGAATCATCAACAACTATTACATTCCAATTAGGAGATGGAAGGAGGCTTTACTTCTCTCAGGGCTCTTGGATGGATCATGCATCTCTCGAAGATTAGTATTGTGAACTATACAGTTTTACGAGCAATAAGTGGTGCTCGTGGCACATACCCTGCAAATGATCAGGGATGGGAAGTTCTCTTCAGAATGCCCTGCAATGGTTCGGGGTTGGTAGGATGACCCCGTTTCCTATTGGGTTTGGAGAAAGCCCCTGTTTTGAACACAACTCTGATGGTACCTGATGCCTAGGTCAAAAGTATGGCGTGCTCCCTGAATAGTCTTGCTACAAGCTATGAAATGCAGACATCACTAACAAACTGGCTTGGAAGCACATATGAAAATGCAAAGCTCATTAAAAGGTGAACTGTTTCACTGACTGGTGGCAAAGAAGCATCTATGACACAACATAATTTACAAAATAAGGGGATGTATATTTGGAGTAGACATGTTACATGCGAAATGAAGATGCTTACTTTGTTTCTATTCTAGATTATGCAACTTCTTTTTGAGCATTTTTTAGGTGAAAGACTGTATGCAACTTACCCTTTTCTCCCAAAAAAGAAAAAGAAAAAGAAGTGAAAGTGTGTATGCAAAAACAGCTGAGGAGCACTATACACTGGAATATAATCAGGCGTTGGAATATAAATACTTTTCTGGAAATAGACCCTGTTTTCATTGAGTTATTTGGAAAAAGGAATCAATGATCTTTAAAGGGAAAGGAATGTGTGATTGGATTGAAATGAAGTGTGTTGTTTTTGTAAGCTTTTTGGTACAAAATGACTGATGTACATGAAGTGGACAATTCATTATTCAAGGCAAGGGTACACTTGTGACACACTTTTAGTACTGTATCATCAATAAATATTTATCTTATCAAAAAAATTCAGACAGATAGAATCTACGAATGATTCAGATAAGTACCATTCAGTTCTTCTTCCGGAGCCGTAACTACTTTTATCACCTCCAATCAGAAATAGCTCACTCCACCTTAGTGCTCCAACTCTGGGATCCTCACTCCTAGTTCTACCACTCCTTTGCTTCACTGTTCAGAATCTTCAAAACAACCTAATGTAGAACTCTCCCAGTAAGATCTTGTTCAACTGGTTTTTTAGTAGAGAGCCTTTTTGGGGGGTGGGGGTGTTGAATAGGTTTCCAGTGCTCTCTTTTCACATCACTTCCGATAAGAATCAGATTACTTGAATAAAAAAGAAAATAGTGCGGAAGCAAAAATACAAAGATTAAAGATAGGAGGAATTGAAAGATGTGTTAAATTCGAGAATAAAATCCTCAAATTTCAAGATAAAGTGCTAAGAACCCTAATTAATCTTAGTATTTAAAATTAGCAGATTAAAACTAATTATGATACTACAACAACAACTTCATACCCAGTGAAAACTAATTATGATACTAATAGAGTCAAGTCAAGAACTTAAACCAAAAGTGATCTAGTCCCCTACTTCTAAAAAATTAGAGACAACAGTAAGTATAAGACTAATTACCTTCTTTAATTTACTTTAATAGAAACCAAAGATATCAAGTTAAGAATTAATATTATCTCTTAAAAAATCGTTCTTATAAGGTTGTAAGATAAATCCATAGTCACCATATACAAGGGTGTAGAGAAGAGAAACCTCTTAAATAATATTAATCATATCTTTCAAAAATAACAAAATCTACTCCTATATATAGGGGACGAAACCTATCTCAAATAGCATGGAATTCAAATCCTACTTTTATGGAAATAATAGCTAGGGAACTTTTTACAGATGGGCAATTCTCCCATTTCTTTCCTTTTGTTTCTGAAGATTCTGTTCTCTTTTTGAGTCATTGTTTGCGCTTTTACTTACCTTTGAATTTCTTTTTAATATATGGTTTCCAGTGACAAAGTCCTATACTCAATTCCTCTTTGCCAATTCACCCCCTCATTTGTTCTTTCATGATTTTATCATCCAATTTTTGTACTTTTCATGACCTTCTTATGTGAATTATCTCCTGCGCCGTAAGAGTCCCTCACCCCCTAGTTTTTGCCTTAGTTGCGCGGACTCTCCACTTTTGATGCCGCACCCGTCTCGGATTCTCCAAAAATACACTACTTTTGGCGAATCCGACATGCACCCGTTGGCATTTTTGAAGATTCCGAGCAACATAGGTTTTTGCCCTTCCTTTTGTGAATAATAACCTTAACACCTTCTTCAGAGCTCTCAGATAGCATTTGTTGAAGGTTCTGTGCCATACTTGTGCAGTAGCTTATCTTTGGGTTGGGAACCTTTGAAGTATTGTGGAGTTTTGTGTACTTGTTGCGTATGGTATCACTTCAGCATTGACAACAGAATGTAGGAGAATAGTTGATGATAGTACATCTTGGCTTACTCTGTTGTTTTACTTGAATATATTTCGGTATCGGCTATTCCAGCTTTCATAGAAAGCAGTTCATATTCTCTTGGGGATATTGGATGAATTTGGTTAAGACTTTACCTGTTTGTTGTAATCAGTAATTTTCAAATTTCTGTCAACCAGTAATCACTTTGATACTTACACTATTTTTCTCTATGACAGATCCACATTCTATGCCACCTCAAAGAGCCCTTGAAACAATTGGGAGAACATTGCTCGAACAATATGAGAGGTGGCAACCTAAGGTAAAAAAGTGTTTTTGTGATAATAGATATTATGCGTGGACAAGGTCTAGGCTGTATTTTGTTAGTAACGTAATCAGTAATTTAATTAAAATGACCCAAATATCTTACTATATGTAGGCACGCTACAAGGTCTCCTTGGATCCTACTATCGATGAAGTTAAGAAACTTTGCACAACATGTCGAAAGTATGCCAAGTCAGAGCGAGTTCTTTTCCATTACAATGGATATGGTGTAACCAAACCATCAGTCAATAATGAGATTTGGCTATTTAATAAGGTTTTCTTTCCTACTCAAATTGCTTTCACAGAGCATTTGCGATATCAATTTTTTTTTTATTAGACATTTGTTTAGAGTTATACGCAGTATATCCCATTGCCGATCAGTGACCTGGACTCTTGGTTGAAGACACCTTCAATCTATGTGTTTGACTGCTCAGCTGCTGGGGTGATCGTTAATGCCTTTATAGAGGTGCAAATTTTAATAATGCAGTACATGCTTAATGATGAGGTGATCTACCTATCTGCTAAGCTCATTCTCTAATCAAAGCCATTTGCTTAATGCAGCTCCAAAACTTGGCTGCCTCTAATTCCTCTGGACCTTCTACAAGAGATTGTATTCTGCTCGCTGCCTGTGAAGCACATGAGACGCTTCCTCAGAGTGCTGAGTATCCTGCTGACATTTTCACTTCCTGCCTCACAACGCCAATCAAAATGGCATTGAGATGGTGACTTGCTCTTAGAAAAAGTTGTTTATCCTTTCTGCTTTTCTTCATGCTTTCTGCTAAACCTGTCCAATTCTGCAATGGGGTGAACTAGCAGCAATACTTAATTTTGGGAAACTTGGAATAGCATTTCAGTGGATTTGGTCCCCGACTGATGGATATTATTATTTTCTCTCTATGGTATTCCATAGTTTATATTAAGCCATGTCTGTTTTGCATATACTATCCATCTAGATGGAAAGTTAGAATAGCTTTCTCACCAAACAAATATTTGAAACAGGGCAAGTCCCTTTGATACCACAAAGTTGTATCACACCTCGCATTCCAGGAACCACATGGGTATTGTCTATTATGCCAACCGTTGCTATAGGATTAATATATTGTCTTAGGGAATTTCCACTTAGTATGTCCGAGTGCACTCCTAGTTATTTGTGCTTACCTCAAGTGTGATGTTGTCAGAATTCTTAGATAAGCTGCTACTTTCTTTCAACCATTATGATTTATGGCCTATCTTTATTCATAAGAATCTTTTCAACTTTTCAGTCAAATTTGTTATAACTAGTATTTCTTTTTTGTATCTTCTTTTTTGGCTGTTAGGTTTTGCACGCGGTCATTATTTTGTGAGTCATTTGATTATTCTCTGATAGATAGAATTCCTGGCCGCCAAACAGATCGAAAGACACCTCTTGGTGAATTGAATTGGATTTTCACTGCAGTAACTGATACAATTGCCTGGAATGTTCTACCACACGGTAATGTGATAGAGTAGTTAGATTGATGCAGTTTTCCTAATTCCTTTTTCGGCATTTTAAACTCTTCCTAATCTGTAAGCTTCAAAGCCGCAGATCTATTTCAGAGATTGTTCAGGCAAGACCTATTAGTTGCTAGTTTGTTCAGAAATTTTTTACTTGCTGAAAGAATCATGCGCTCTGCAAATTGTTCACCAATTTCATACCCAATGCTACCACCTACTCATCAGCATCACATGTGGTAACTACATGAAACACTCAAGCTACGAAAATTCCTGCTTTACCTTCTCCTCATTTGGGGCCTGTACTTGTTCCACAGGGATGCTTGGGACATGGCAGCAGAAATCTGCCTTTTGCAGCTTCCAACTTTGCTTGCTGATCCAAGTGTTGAATTTCAGGTGGGATAATGAGTTATTGCCCCTTTGATTGTATATATTTAGTTCCTAAAAGTTGGTCTGTTTTCTGAAAAATATGGTCCATGTATCTTTCTCAAGATTCATATTTTCCCATCTTTTGATATCTTCAGCCTAGCTCATTCTTCACCGACCAATTGACAGCTTTTGAGCTTTGGCTTGACTATGGATCAGAGAATAAAAAACCACCAGTGCAGTTGCCCGTTGTGCTACAGGTAATAAGTAATATGGTTCTAATCAAATGAAAGACCATTCTTGGTTTTTCTTGCCATGAAATGGTCGATTTAAATAATGCACGTTTCCTCGTTCCCACACTATTGTCGATTTCTATTTCTTATTAATAATATGATGAAAAGGTGGAGTGAAAACATTTGGTTGTTACCCTTCGGGGTGGCCCAGTGGTTTGAGCTTGGGACTTCCATGTTGGAGGTCTCAAGTTCGAAACTCCTTGCCAGCGAAAGCAAGGGGTTTGCCTTCTGGGTCGAGCTCGTCGCACCAGGCTTGCCTAGTGCGGTTTACCTCTCCTATATGGTTTGCGAGCTATTGCATAGGAGCGGAGATTTTACCCTGTGCGCACCCAAAGGGTAGCGGCTGCGGGTTTCCCTTGTCATAAAAAAAAAAACAAAAAAAAAAAAACATTTGGTTGTTAGCATTTATTGTTCCTTTATGAAGCTTCAGTTATTAACAGTCGACTGCATTTGCTTAAATTTGTTTAGATAGGAGAAAGCGTGTCTATTTATACCTACTGTGATTAGCTGTACTCAAAAGTCAAGGGTCCTCCGAAAACAGCCTCTCAACCTCTACGAGGTAGAGGTAAGGTCTGTGTATACTATCCTCCACAGACCCACTTGTTGGATTCCATTGGGTATGTTGTTGTATATCATGCTAAAATTTAGAATAACAGAATGTTCTCAGAAATTAAAGAGAAAATAACCAGAAAGTCATGTCATTATGTGAGGAGTGGTTAAACTCTCCTCTAATAAATTACTTAATAGGCCATCAAATATTTGGTACTCCTCTCAGCACAATTGGGTCTTCATCTGTTTCATGTTTTCCATACTTATTTTTTTGCTCAAGTAATCTTGCAATCTATGGAAGGTTAGGGTAAGTTTTTGTCGATTCTAGTGTGACTCATATCCTTACTGTTGCAGAAGCAAATTACCACAATGCTAGTGATTGAAGTTTCTGAGGGAAAATCAGCAGAACCATTGGTTTTAGTAATGTTAGTGCTCAGTCAAAACAATCATCTTAGGTTTTTTATAGGGGTTGCTTGAAGAGTAGTTGGTACTGTTTGTCGTGTGAGCGCATTTCTTTATTTGAATTGTGAAGTATGGCTAGATTTAATTAGTGCTTTACCTAACCAAAAGAAAAAACAGATTTACTTTGTGTTTATCTGCTCGACTCCACAGAAGGATACAGAAATTGGAAAACCATAGGTACAGGCTGATTGCTAGTTGTCTTTCTAATATTTTTCCTATTTATTAGGTTTTCTTCACTCTCGAGGGCTTTGTTGTTTTGGTGCATTTTTCTCTTTGTATGGGATGGTAACCAGGTTATTCTTTGTTATTAGGTGTTACTTAGTCAATCCCACCGGTTTCGAGCACTGGTTCTTCTCGGAAGATTTCTTGATATGGGACCTTGGGCTGTAGATTTGGTACTTATTGGTGGTGGTGCATTTCAAGCTTCTTGTATTAGGCTGGCTGCCTCTAATTTTATGCGTCCAATTTTTAAGTGATTCTTAAGTCAACAAATTTATTTCCAGGCCTTGTCTGTTGGAATATTTCCTTGTGTTCTAAAGCTTTTGCAAACCACAACTCCGGAGCTTAGGCAAATTCTTGTCTTCATTTGGGCGAAGATCCTTGCCTTTGATAAGGTACATGTATTGGTTTGTCTATCACCTGTGTTGTTATCATATTAAATTTCCCATGTTTCAATTTTATATATATTTATTTCTCATATAATTTTTTTGCAATCTCTTTCTAAACCTATGTTCCATCAGTGAAAAATAATAGACACGGAAAAAAAAATTTGAATGTGAGAAAAGTTGTGTGCTTCACCTGGATTGCATTGCACTAGGTATGTTTATATCTAGTAAACTTTGGGGGCCCTGCGTGTGGAGTTTATACTTTTTTGTGCAACATCAGAACAACTGTTCCTGCAGTGCCCATGCCTTGGCAGATCTGGGGTTCTTCACTATCCCATATGGTATTAATTGGGTGAATTTCTTGATGTGATCTGCAGCTGAAAGTCTAGGATAAAGAAACATCATAAGGCTTATATGAAATGCTAGCGCTGTGTGTTTAGTATGGGAATATTTGGAAATAAATAAATATTAGATGTTGTGATGGAAAGCATTCGATCTTTCCACAAGTATAAGAACTACGTCTCAGTTGTAAATTAGTTGGGTCTCATCATATGGATTCTCAATATTCATTCCACTCCATTATATTATTTCATTAAGATACTCAATGACTTAACTCTTGGGGACCAGGCCATGTAAGCGTGCCAAAACGGTCGGTTAAGAAATGAATTTTGGGCCTAACTCAACCTCAAAAGGCAAAAGCTAGCTAATGAGGTGAGCATTGCTCCAAAAACCATATAAGGAGACAAACAACCTATCCTTTAACCAATTTTGAACACTTCAAACCCTCCCCACGCGAAACCTATCAACTAGAGCGTAGACAACCTAATATTGTGGGCCAATAATGTGACATACAATAACAAAGATGGGTTCGGCTTTGATACTTGTTAAGAAATGGACTTAGGACCTAACTCAACTGTAGAAGCTAGCTCATGAGGCCCGAAGAACATATAAGGCGACAAACAATTTATCCCTCCACCAATGCGGGATACTTAACTTGGCTAAACCTTAATCCCAACTAGTCAGTATTATCTATTTGGATCTTTTTTTTTTTTTACTAGTGCATTCTATTCTTCTCCAAATTCATAACCATTTCGAGAGATTGTAGGTCTTTTGGGGTACCTTTCTATTATGTGATTAGGTCTACCATTCTTTTTTTTTTTTGAAATAGGCAAGCATTCACACAAAAAACTCATCAGGAAACTGATGAGAAGGAATTTACAAACCCTAAGGGGTGCCATCATAATCAAAATCCAAAACAAACTTCAAAAATTTATAGTTGGGCTGTAAACTTTGCTAAACTATCTACTTCCCCCACTAAATTCTGCTTACACCAAAAAAACAAAAGACTAAGACATCTCATAATTTTTTCTGTGTAGCTAACCTTCTCTTCATAACATCTCTCATTCCTTTCCTTCCATAGTGTCCACCAAATGCAAGCAGGGACGTTCTTCCACCAATCTTCCTTTGATCCTTTTTTTGACAAATCTTCCTTTGATCCTCTCTTTCCAATTTCTTGCAGTGCGTTAGTACCTCAAAAGTGGTTCTAGGTGTGAGAAATATAGGAAAAGAATATTATTGAATTATTGTTGTGTCTACATTATTACATTGAGACCCTATTTATAGACCTTAGAATACAATCCTTTACCAAGTAGGATACTATTTAGTATTCCTATTTCTATTTCTATTCCTATTCCTATTCTAATAGAATTGTATAAACCTATTCCTATTCTAATAGGATTGTATAAATCTATTCTTATTCTAATAGGATTGTATAAACCTATTCTTATTCTAACACTCCCCCTCAAGCTAGTGCATACAATTCATGTACCTAGCTTGTTACAAATATAATTAACACGAGGACCGATGAGGGGCTTGGTGAGATATCTGCAAGTTGATCACTCGACTTCACAAATTTGACAATCAATCTCAATGGGCTTGGTCTTCTCATGAAATACTGAATTTGATGCATAATGCTGATAAAACACGGAGTGATAAAATTACAGTGTTGGAACTTCCCAAACCAAGCTTGCAAAGACTGTTTCAGACCATAGAGTGACT